TTCACAAATATATAGAGTGAGAGAGAGAGAGAGAGAGAGAGAGAGAGAGAGAGAGAGAGAGAGAGAGAGAGAGAGATGAAAGATGAAAGATGCGTGTATGCGCGTCTGTGTGTTTCTCTTTTTAGTGTGAGTTTACTTAAAAAACTGCGATTTTATCCTCTCGTTGCTGGAAAATATAATGTAGCGATTCAGTATTTAAACTGTTATTAATAAAAGTCGTGGGGCAGCATTGACAAGTTTCTTTTCTCCTGGCTGTATGAGCTGCGCGATCTATGATACTGTATATACAGTATATATATATATATATATATATATATGTGTGTGTCAGTAAGCAGCGCATTAATATAGAATGGTAATTAGAGGCTCTAATGCACACCAGTATAGGTTTGTGTATTGTAGGAGCTAGACGACGTATGATGATGTGTGACACGTATGATGACGTGTGACAGCATAGTAGTGGTGTCCCAATTCTTAGGGGAATATTTTCACCCCTACCCCTTGACACTCTGCTGTCAAGGGGTAGGGGTGTAGAATTGGGATTGGGACTTAGTCTCACAACATTGGAATAATCAACTAATGATGGACTAAAGAGGTGGGCCGAGAATATTCTCGCCCACGATCTCAACACCTCAGTGTGGAGATCGGGGAAGAACGGTAAGCCCCGGCATGGAGGGAGCAGCTTAGACCGTCTCAGTGGGCCATTCCAGATTTAATTTGGCCACAGAACGAGTTAATCCCTCCACTAACTCCTCATACTGGGTGGACTGAGGGGATTCGTCGACCCTCTCGACCTGGCCATCCTCGGAGGACAATAATCTGAGCATCAAGCCCTCACCTCGGGGGGAAGAAAACGCTCCCTCGGAGCGTGCTTCCAAACCTTGGGAGGGGGCGCTGGATCTGGTGGTCAAGGAAGAAGAAAAGGACTCGCCCATCTCCATTCCCTCCAGATCCATTTGCGATCCCCACGACCGCCGCCGCTGCTCTGCCTTGGCAGCAGTGGGGCCTGAGCCATGAGGAACGCTGGCAAGGGCTCCCTCCTCGAAGAGAGCCCTCCGGGAGCGAAGCGTCCGCAGCGAGAGGCGCTTGTAATACGAACAGTCAGATCCCTCGAGAGCTGACTCAGCATGCTTTGCCCCCAAACAAACAACGCAAAGGCTGACAGCCTAAACTGATGTTTGCTTTTATCATGCCCACCCTTGGACTTATCTTTTGCCTTAGGCATTGCTGACTTATTTGTAATAGTGACAGACAATGTTAATAAGAAATACACACACAGAGCGCTTCGCTGGATGACAGAAGCTGCCACTGTTTCCACTGCATATGCCTTCATAGCTTCCTGGTCACTATGTCACCCCATCCGTGACGTCGAGCCCATCCATTGGACTGATTACACACGTGATTCAGAGCGTGGTCACGCTGAAGGCGTTCCCACAGCGTCTCGACGCAGCTCAAGTTCCTGAAATTTAACTGTTTTTAACATTGATAATAATCAGAAATGTTTTTGGGCACCAAATTAGCATTTTAGAATGATTTTTGAAGGATCATGTGACACTGAAGACTGGAGTAATGATGCTGAAAATTCAGCTTTGATCACAGCAATAAATTACATTTGAAACTATATTACAATAGAAAACATTTGTTTTAAACTAACAATATTTCACAATATTATTGTTTTTACTGTATTTTTATCAAATAAATTAATAAGCATAAGAGACTTATGGGTCATGAAACAAAATTCCCTTGATATTTTCACGTATAAGAGGTCTTTGCAGTACAAAAACATCCTGTAAGTTTCAGAACTCAAAACTTTGTTGTTAGTCTAAAAACAGCTTATATTGAAGCCAGTCTGCCAAAAGCAAGTTTTTGGAATGTACGACTCTATGATGTAACAGTGTGGCTTAACACTGCCTCCGCAGAAGAAGATTAACGCCTGCTTCTACATCATTGCCTGTTTAGCACCGCCCACTGATTCACGCATGTAGTGTTTACGAGAGAGGCGAACGCGCAGGTCTATGGAGAAACCAAACAATAAAGATGGCTCTGAAGACAACAAGATGCTGTGCAGTGCCAAGTTGTGAAAAAAACAGTCTTTCCATTGCCTTCCTTTTGATGCCAGTGTTAGAAAAGAGTGAATAAACTTGATCCAGACAACATCAGTAAGAACTTAGTCCTTTGTTCACAGTAGTATAGTTCCCCTTATATTTTAAGAAGCCGTTTTTGTACATATTTTTTTTACAGTTGAGTGAAGCAGGTGCTGTTCTCTGTAATATTGTTCAGAAGCCTGTGAGTTGTGCTTACCTGTGTAGATTTCCGCCTCTGATGGGTCCTCGACTCGCTTATGTTGAATGATGTAATCTGAAACCTTGTAGCCAATCAGAGGTTCAACATCAATCCATTCCAGCGCCACCATCGTACTGGAGGGTTCCAGGTGTGGAGCCAGTCTCAATCTTTGAAAATTAAAAAGCCAACATTATGTGCATATTAGTACGATTTGACAGAATGGCTCCTTTCCAAAACCCACTAATTTGCTTGAGCAGGGGGCATTTTAAGGCATCGTAGACATGACTCTGAATCAAAGGTTATTTTAAACAGTATGCAGCATTGTTAAGATACCTTGGGGAATTCACTAAAAATTAATTGCAAAGATTTTTGCACAAGCTCTCTGCCCTCATTTCAGACAATGACACAAATATGGCTGCAAAATCTGTGCTTTTTTGGGATCAGTTTGGATCTTGCTGGCCAGTTCATAACAAAATGAAATTGAATGTTTATTTCATTCACAAAAGAGGACTGTCTAAATTGTGAATTGTATTTATATTTTTATTTGTATATTTTTTTAAAGTAATACTTTAACGTGTCCTTCCTGAATAAAATGATTAAAGTGCTAAAGTGAAAAGTGACAGTAAATACATAAAAAATACAAAGTAAAAAAAAAAACGATATTTCTGTTTTTTTCTTGGTGAGCAGAAGAGATTTCTGTAGCGTCTGCGTAGAATCATGCATGATCTTTGGGTGTTTATGGCTTAAGGGACCCTTTTAGCCTTTTGACATTTGCATATAAATTACAGTTCTGGTCAGAGACTTTACGTTTGTATAGGGGTTTTAAATTGCCAAATGGTTCCTCGCCGTCAAGGAGATTCTAACCAGCCCCCACTATCATCTCCCCCATCTGACTTCAAACACTGTCCAAAAGAGCTGAAAATGGCCAGGCAATTGGCCTGACCGACCAAGCAAACTAACACACACACAAACACACACACATAAAGACATTTCTTTATTTAGACTATAATTAATCAGTTATAATTTTATCTGGTATATTGCATGTGTTGTTTGTACGTTCCCCTATTCGATTAGCTGAGTTACCACTAGTTATTTGTATTAGTTAAAGCCATAAAACACTGATATTCAGGTGTATGTATGTATCTTTGGTTTAATCTATTCCAAATGTTTGTTTCTTGGTATCAATGTTACTCTTCTTCAGCAATCGAACCCAATGCAAGTAACCGCTTAAAATTATTCAGATGTGTGTTTAAATTTCAGTCCCTTTTAAGGTGATTATTGGATTCTTTGGTGATTTTCAAAGGTTGTGGTTAAGTGCTGTGAAATACTGCCATTCTTTTCTATTCTCTCTCTTTTCCTTACTTTGTTTCATTCTGTGTATATATGTTTTAGTTAGTTATATGTTAGATATAGTTTCATTTATTGAGTAGTTAATCGTTTGCTGCTCACAGTTCGAAGTCAATGAATGTGTGAACCCTTGCTACATTTTGCTAGATTACTGCGAGCACTGCACAAAGAAGGACAGTTTATTGTTCCGTGGCCAGAAAAATAAACATTCCTTGAATTGATAAATGATTATATTGTCTGCTCGGTGGACGGACAGATCAAATAATTGTAATATTGATTCTGCTACAGTTAATTCGAAGATATAATCTAAATATTTATTATGAATCATAACCAGTTATAATTCGTCATAAATATTCCCCTTTCTAGAGCTAATAAATAATAAAAACCCTTACATTTCTTTCAAAAACACACACACAGTAGTTTAGTTCGCCCTTACATTTTAAGAAAGTGTTTTTGTACAAATGCTATGTACATTTTTCATTATGTGACATGTAATGCAATGGACATACTGAGTCATCAAACAATTGCCTTGATGAGACACTGCCTCACAATTTGGGAGTGAAGATGAGGCGGCATCATTTGTCTTACCAAAGTCTAGGATGCCTTAACATTCTGCCAAAAAGTGATGCCATGAATCAAGTATTGCATAAAGGTGCTTTCATGACACCCGTTCAGGGTAACTTACACGGGCCGCCGCAGGGGGCTGCAGTTGGGAAGCCCGTCTTTGCCAAGCGCTGTTAGGTCACAGCGGCACCAGTTCTCGATGACATCACCCTTCCCCGCACACCAGTATGAGCTCATCGTGGCACTTTTGAAAGCCTGCAAAATAAATGGCACAGGTGAGAGAAACGCAATTATCTCCATGAGCAAACGTCCTTCCGCCGTACTCGATGAGTCACCAGGAGTCGCCAACATCACGCTCTGCCACCTCCACTCAAAAAGTGGTGTAACTCTGTGAAGTTACGCAGGGTAATGCGATCTCAGGGCGCTTTGTTTAGACAAGAACCTGTCAAGATTTAATTGGAAGCTGTACCAAAAAAGGTCAGCCCACATGTGAATGTCAAGAGACTCCATCTCTGGGGCAATAATAAGACAAGTGTGGGGCAGAGAAGGAGGGGGCAACTGAGACACAGCCGAAGGACAGCACACAGTGAGACAAGAGGTTGTGATTCATTCTAAAGCTGTCTTTCCAACTGAGGTCGACTGGTTGAAGTGAACGTTTGCCTGTTTGGTGATTAGGTTAACTGTTTTGAATTGAACGTGACACATCCGATGTGTGATACCTGTAAGTTGTCCTAGTTGCAATGTTGCGCTTCTTGTCTGGTGTGAGGCCATATTTTGTTATTTTGATTAAATAATCATCAACAGTGTTGGGGAAAGTTACTTAAAAGTAATGCTTTACAATACTGTGTTACTCTCTTAAAAAGTAACTAATGGCATTACTTTTTTATGGAAAGTAATGCATTACATTACTTTTGTGTTTCTTTTTCTCATCTGAGCTGGGCTTGCTTGTTTTTGATATAAAAAGTTCTGTTTTTGGCAAATGTAAAAACCCTTTCATAACTGTGAAATGTGAAATGAATAAGCCTCATCCTGAAGGAAATGCAAATTCATGTCTGTACTGTAGAGGGCACAGTTTAAACAAACCTTTCAACTGTGCTGCCATTCTGGATTAAGAAAAGGATGCAGGAGAAGAAAGAGCAGGAGAAGAAAATAAAATAAAAAAAGAAACATGTTATGTTTATATAAAGTAATTTTTGCTTATTAGCATGATCAGCACTGACACTGGTTAATAAAATGGGATTAAATATATAAATAAATACATTTTTGTGTTATTTAACATATTTAATTACTGCAGGTTTGCATTTCCCTGCTTTTATTCATTTTGAGAAATACTGAATCTGTTTTTGGGCAAGTGAGATGAGTAAATGCATGTTCACATTTAGCCTAGAACTACAGTAACATAATGTTTACATAAAGCAAACAACTCCTCCATACTCCAACTCACTTACTCCCGATTTCTCTCAACATGGGGGCAGGAGAGTTGTCATTCCTTATTTGAAAAGGTTACTCAGATATTTTCATATCAATTAAAAAGTAATGTGTTACTTTACTAGCTACTTGAAAAAGTAATCTGATTAGATAACTTGTGTTACTGGTAATGCGTTATCCCCAGTACTGATCATCAAATTGAAGCAAATAAAATGTGAGAGTATGTAATTTCAATGCTATGGCCTTTGTGTAGATATTTAAAGATGGCCATCTTTGAGAATGACTTTTCAGATTATATGAACACTTTACAATAAGAGTCCAACTATAACGAAGGTTAATAAATGCTGTATTAGTATAGTTAATTGTTAGTTTCGATGTGGAACCTCTGATTGGCTACAAGGTTTCAGAATACTAATACATTTAACAAATTTAGAGTTGCATCTCTTAACATTAGTTAATGCACTATGAACAAACGAAAAAAAAATCTCCCAACTAATGCTGTCGGAAAGACTGCAATCCATTGTGGTATAATGACTTGCATGAGAGATGCCTGGCAGAGGCACAGAGTCGTGGAAGTCAAAACAGAGAGTGAATGGAGAGGTGCAAGTGTGGGGTGGGCGGCGTGACCCAAATCACGGAAACAGTATGTATGTATTACCATACAGTTGTTTTTACTGGAAACTCTACAAAAATGGTTTATATATATACAATAACCATGAGATAAAGTTCAGTGAATTATCCCCAAAATAGTGCTTAAGAATGAAAGGTACTCTTTTTTTCCCCCTCCTATTTTAAACTAATGGATATGAACCAAAACATTAAAACCAGTAAAATAATTTAAGTAATATAACTAGCATTTTACTGCTAAGATGTAATACAATAGCTGATATACACTGCAAAAAAAAAAAAAGAAAAAAAATCTAATTACAAATATCTAAACATTGTTAAATCAAGATACATTGTGTTGAACAAAACTATTAAGAAAATGATTTATTTATTCATTCATTCATTTAGTTAGTTAGTTAGTATTTTTTGTCTTGTTTTCCAGTATAAACATCTAAACATTTAAGATAAATTACATTTACTTGCGATATTAAGTCTTATTTTCTGAGAAGTTGTTTCTAAATGAACTGACTTTATGCTTAAAACAGTGGGGTAAGAAAAATAATCTTGTTTTCAAAGTTATCCTTTGAATTAGGTTTATTTTTCTTACCCCAGTGACATATTTTTATTTTGAAGACTTCATATTCTAAGACATTTTGCTTTTCAAGTAAATGTATCTTGATTTAAGAAATAAGTAAAGTAAAAACACTAAGTAAAGAAATGCCATTTATTGTAATCCACGAGACAGTATATGCTGGTAGTAACCCTTAAGTAAGGAAGGCCCCTGGAGAGAAACCATTGATTAAATGAGAAAGCTTTTCCACAGAAACATAAGGCATGAGCAGTAAAACAATGTAAAACAACAGTGTGACAAACCCACAGAAGTGCTGCATATAAAACTAGTTAAAAAAATTATTTGGAGGTGAAGGAAGGGCACATTTTGCGGTGTGTGTTGGCTTTTCCCCTCCTATTTTAAACTAATGGATATGAACCAAAACATTAAAACCAGTAAATAAATTAAGTAATATAACTAGCATTTTACTGCTAAGATGTAATACAATAGCTGATACACACTGCAAAAAAAAAAAAAGAAAAAAAATCTCATTACAAATATCTAAACATTGTTAAATCAAGATACATTGTGTTGAACAAAACTATTAAGAAAATGATTTATTTATTCATTCATTCATTTAGTTAGTTAGTTAGTATTTTTTGTCTTGTTTTCCAGTATAAACATCTAAACATTTAAGATAAATTACATTTACTTGAGATATTAAGTCTTATTTTCTGAGAAGTTGTTTCTAAATGAACTGACTTTATGCTTAAAAGAGTGGGGTAAGAAAAATAATCTTGTTTTCAAAGTTATCCTTTGAATTAGGTTTATTTTTCTTACCCCAGTGACATATTTTTATTTTGAAGACTTCATATTCTAAGACATTTTGCTTTTCAAGTAAATGTATCTTGATTTAAGAAATAAGTAAAGTAAAAACACTAAGTAAAGAAATGCCATTTATTGTAATCCACGAGACAGTATATGCTGGTAGTAACCCTTAAGTAAGGAAGGCCCCTGGAGAGAAACCATTGATTAAATGAGAAAGCTTTTCCACAGAAACATAAGGCATGAGCAGTAAAACAATGTAAAACAACAGTGTGACAAACCCACAGAAGTGCTGCATATAAAACTAGTTAAAAAAATTATTTGGAGGTGAAGGAAGGGCACATTTTGCGGTGTGTGTTGGCTATGAATCCAAGAGTCTACGTGAAGGAGCTGTTCTTGATGTTGAATCATGCATTACCAGCCAATGCTATGAAAGTGAAAGAAAATTGAAGGTTTAACAAATATGCCCATTAGAGTGGCATTTGGCAATTGCGATAAGGGTTATAAAAAAGTTTCTGCAAATGGGAAACAGATGATCAGAAAACATGAAATATCAATGCTGATGAGTGCAGCCCCGCTCATGGACAAACAGAGAGCCGCAAACGTGCACACACATTTACCACCAGCGGTTTCCTAGAAAAATCACGCTTGACTGCTCAACTGCACATGTGAAAAATAGACAAAACGATTATGGCTTTGTTTATGTATGCAGAGTAACCTAAGCCAATTTTGACTACGTAAACAGGGAGGGTAATTAGGGATGTGTATTTTTATGTCTCTGTCTGTGTGTTTGTTTGTGTGTGTGTGTGTATGTGATGAAGGGAGATCTAACGGCGGTCAGACAGAAAGGGTGTACGACGGGGAACCCTAAAGACCCTGATGTACTGGCAGTGAAGTTCTTTTTTGTTATTCACTAAAAATAAGTTTTAAATACCTGAGCAGCAGTTTACTAACAAACTTCCTGAAACTGCCCATGCTGCTGCAAAGGAAGTTTACATGCATGTCAAAATGTGTTGCACACTTTCCTCTCAAAAACCAATTAAAAACCAAAACAAAAATGACAGTGGTGAGAAAATAGCAGTTAAGAAAGAATCTGATCATAGTGATAAGGATATGCTTGTACAAGCTGTGCAATTCGGCACTCCAGTCACATCATGTTTATTTATTTCAGATGCACCGATACTACATTTCTCAGCCTCATACGATTCAAAATGATATCTGCAGATACCGATAGTCTTGTTTTCTTAATGAGAGAAAAAAAATCTCTCCCAACCAATGTTGTAAACTATGCAGGCCAGGGAGCCCTCTCATTTGGTATATAATAGGTTAAAATTAAACTATTACTATTGCAATGCTATTAATTTTCAGATATAATCATCACACTTGAATAAAAAAACATATGACCTGTGCTGGCAAAATGAGTCATAATATGCAAATTTTCAAAAATGATTAATTAAAAGACCTTCAAAATGTTAAACAAGTTGTTGAAATGGGACAAAAAAAATGACCGAGTGACACCCGTTTGAAGTCGATAGAGTCAACAAAGTCCATTTCGAGAAAAAGGGGGTTCAAGTTTTTTGAAGGTTCCAAAGCAATAATCACCTAGTAACATTGCATCTTTTCCTCCAGTTCTTTTCTTAATAATCATTACTATATGAATAATCACAATATAGCTTTTTTTATTATTTAATCTTTGTTGTTATAAATAAGACTTTTTTTTTTTTTGCCTGTAGCTCAAAATTAGCCCATGCACGTTCCAACTCTTCCAACTTTTGCCAGCACGGGTCGCATATGTATACAACTCGATTGCATTAAGTAGTTTTCATAAAAACTTGTCTTCTTGACA